TTAACACATTATTCAAGGCTTCACTATCAATGAGTTATTACTCTGAATATATGCAAAATTACAACAGGTCCAAGGTACCGGGTACATTGAGCCTCACCCGCATATAATAGCTACTTATATTTTGGTGCCTGACAGCGTCGACTTAATACCTTATTTATTGTAATTCCTCGCGCCGACTTAGTAGATGTTGTTTAATGTGCTTTTACCGTGTTTTCGTGAAGAAAGCAGTGTGGGGGTAATTATTTAGCAGTGTTCTGCGGTTTCGTTGGCGAGCGGCCGCCGAGTTAATGAGGGGCTTCGTAATAACCCACGATTATTAATATGGACGTAGTTTACCGCGTCTCTCGTTACCGACACATCCCTCATGCCACGCTATTTGCTCTACCATCCACACTCACGAGTATTTCGACCCATTATTGCCTTACACGATTTATCTAAATTCCATAATTGTCTTTGTCTAGTCTACTTCAATCTAAATTGTAATTAAATGTGATCAGTTTACATTCGTTATGGTGCTCAAGCAACGTAATGCTACGAACCGCAAATGTCACAGTTTCCAACTAGTAAATTGTAGTTCGAAAGTGATACATGGCTCACGAACTCCCATTCCGCGGATACGGTAATGAGTATGTTGATTGACTTTTCATGCCATTGCCTCTGCTAATTATAGGATTTAATGGTATCCGAGTATTATATCATTGTTAATTTCACTTCCATTGAGTTTACCTCGTTAAATTTCTTTTCGATTGACTTTCTCTTTAGATAAACAAGTGAGATTAGCCAGTGATCATGCACGATACTATGTTCGTAAATTGGACATTGACAAAAACGTTATTGAATGGTGGGTACTGTACTGTTGGTATCAATTACATTGTGGGAGCCTCATTAATGCTTTGAAAAGCGCGCATCTTCATTATGACGGGCTCGATAACTATTGTAGGAGAGTCAGATGCGGGCGGTGTAGCGGTGCGCGTGCGCAGCGTCCGCCGTGCGACTGTATGGCAAATACGTACGAGCAAATTGCGTCAGTATCCACGCACACACACGCTATTGTATCCGCCGTACTTTTCTCACGCTCACACACTCATGTGTACGTGTAATTTGCACTCGAACGTAGCTACGTAGTAGGTTAGTGTGCGTGTTTATCGGAAATTAGTTCTGCTGCAAGCATCGGGGTATCGGTGGAAATTGACAACACCACTGATTGTAACGATGGGAATCTGCGCACGTGTGCCCACATTAAACATTTACTTGGCCAAGTGCCACTCCACAGCCGCAAAATACAAATTATAGACACATTTGACACATGAGCCTTTTGATTTAGCGTTTCTATACATTTTAATGATAGTTTCGCGCGTATTATGCGGCATTATCCAGCTAAACACCATGTTAACATGCCAGTGTGTTTTCCAATAAAATGCGACATTATTTGTTTAGCACTGAAAGCGTTCATTCCGTCCGTGTGTATGTAAAAATAAAGATAGAAGCAAATTATAGCATTATGGACCATTCACCTCGACTCTAATTACCAGCTCTTTGCATAATTTCCATACACATTAGCACTGCGAAATGATCTACAAATTGCTATTGCTGAGAACTAGCATCATAATTATTATGTGTAATTAGTATTTTTTACCTATGTCACATGATAGTTTCGTATAATTGCAAGTGATGCATTTCTAAGCAGCATTTATGAGAATCCAGTTTGATTATACTGAGGGTAAGAAATGTGTCTTATAAGAATTTCGTTGTAAGTTCAGTTCACTTTAGCAGTGAGCAACAAGTGGGGGATCAGAAGGCGTTTTCACCCACCCTTAGTTTTCATTTAGAGCTGTCTTAACTATAACTGATATTTGATATTGACTTTGAGAAGCCTTCTCAATTACTCTATAAACACTAATTTATAATTCTAATTAATACTAAGCGAAAATTTGTTTAATAAACTAGTTTCTCAAACATTTTTTCTTCACCCAAATCCTTCTAATAATTTATAAAAATATAGTCAAACCACTTAACAAATAATAAACCTGATTAAATATGAGACTTGTACATAAATCATACGTAATCATAATTAAAATATTTATCTTGTGGGTTTCCAGTCATTGAAGATATTTCCTAATACTTGTAATATGAGCAAAAACTTCAATCACATTTCAAGTCATAAAAATATGAATAAGTAAATTGTCAATAAGAAATTAACTTTAGAACGAGCGCCAATTAGAAAGTCTATGATTACAAAAAGAAATAAATATCTTGTTTGTGCAATAAATATTGTTGCAAATTATGAAGAAACAATATACGTACGCAAATACATGAAATTAAATAAGTAATTAATTGACTTTAACCTTATGATAATATATCATTTAGAAGTCATACTTGTATGCAGTACTGGTCAACTTATGGAGATGTACGAAAGACTGAGCCTCCTCCTGAGCCTCCTCCTCCTCCCGGAAGACCATCTTATGTAAAGAAGTTTTGTTCCAACACTTGGCTTGGCTAGTGATTCAGATTGCTCAGAAAATGCTGTTGAGCTGCTTAACAATCAATTATGTGTGATCGTATTTAATAAGGTCTTAATGGCTACTGTTTTTAAGATTCCAAGCCACTACAAACACAAGAATATTTTAAAAATCACGCTTGCAACATAAAAACGGAAAGGTTATTTATATCAAATATAAAGTATAATCATAAAAAAAAGAAATAAGGAAACTCATTCATACAAAATGCGTGGTCTCCTCAATATTTGCATTACAAAGTCCCGTTTGATATCAATTATCGAATGACGATTTGAAGAGCCACACTCGAGCGTTGTAATGCAAACAAATGGTAAGGCGTGGTTCACATTACAATCTATAGGAAAACCAAGGTCTTGCTAATAAAACTTTGCTGGTATTGACATGGAATTTTGTTCGAATTTTAATATCGCTTGTAATATTTGCTTCTTACACAACATTTGGTATTTTTTCGAAGACCTTCCTGTTTACCTAAGAAGTTTTCGTAATTGGTTAACCAGCTGGGTTGGTGTTATCAGTTAATTTATTAATAACAATACCTGATTAAACCAATAGTTTTATACTATTTGACTATCTTAAACTAGAAAAAATGAATCAAATTTTCCAATCAGACTAATTTGAGCTTGTGTCCAATAATGATCCATGTGAATTATCAATCGAAAGAAATTACTATGTAAACTATTAATCATACTGATGACAAATATTAGTTCCTAATAAAATTATTAATTACTTTATCTAACCTTCATGCATCATATCGTTTCTCTTCGAAATTATTCAAATGTTCATCGTGTCTAAGATATGCTTTAGAAACTATACATTTCTGGTAATAAGGTACTAAGATAAATAAAGTACTACAGTTTTTCTAACTTTTAAAACTTTTCCAATCATAACTTCTTCAGATTATTTTCATCTACTTCTAGTTTGGTAAGAATCTACAATTTTCTAAGTAGTATCAGCTACTATAAAATTCTTATAAGACACTGGAAATTCCCATACACTGGTAGTCGATCTTCCAAGATTCATTGATAAAAAGTATTTGCTACCTTCACAAACAGTTACAACTTACAACAATAATTTCGAAGCCTGTACTTGCACAATTAATGATGTAATTCGTTATAATTTAAATACTAATAAGTATTATCAGTAAACTCATCCGGTGTAAGGATTCGGGTATTTGCGGTAATGGCTACGTTATCACATCCTGGCTTAATCATTCATTAGTCAGTACTTGATTAGTATTGCGAAATTAAAAATTAGTCAGTTTCATTAATTCGAATTTGTATCAGTTCTAATTATTTATTGGTCATTTTATTAGTACCGTTGAGGGCAAAACGAGGAAAACGAGTTCCTTGTCCAGCCAATCCATAGTTCGTAAGACAAGTTTTTTCATGAAATTAGATTTTACGACAAATTTAGAAATGGCTTCGTGCTTATCAGAATTGCATTTGGTTAAGTATTACACTATTGTTCACTAGATGTCTCTATTTTAAACAACTGCAGATTCTTTTGTGTTAATTTCGGTTTCTAAGATCTACGTGTTGCCTGAATAATACTAATAATGTATTCTTTATTTGTGTGTCATGTGACATTTTCATTGATTATCTCAACTGTCAACTAAGTAAATATATTATTTCAGTCCTCGTTAGGTATTTGTAGGACAAGTATCTTTGATAACGTTAGATAACGGAGATGACGGCTTAATCTCGATTTTAACGAATTTTTATTCTAGATTGCCTTCTTATTTTAAATTTCGTAAAGTGTGGATGTAATCAAGTCTTATATCAATAGATTTAAGGGCCATTTTACTATGAGATTTTATTTTATCATAAAACATTTTAAATTTGTCGAGACCTAACTTTGTTGGTTGTTTAATTGTAATAGTGTCAGCATTGACAACGTTGACAAGCTGTCATTCGGATAAATTGATCGTGGTTGTTTGCGCAAATGTCAGTTAGATAACGATTACTAAGTATGTATTTTAATTTAATATATGTAGGTATTGGTGATACCTATGGGAATGTATGGCTTATCTTTTATCGGAAAGACGATATTAATAAGTTTAAACATTTTGTAGACAGAGTACTTTATTGTCCACCTTTGCCGGCTTCACCGACAAATATTGAATCATATTCCGAACACGACCGATCCAGGAGAATTATTGTAGTATTTACCTAATTTAAATAGGCCACCCGCTCGGGACCTATCTTTGGAAAACAACATAGTGACACAACGATGACCCTACCCACTTCCGGCTGCGCGCTCGACACAAATGTATTCAATAGTCACCTTCGGTTATGTGAAACTGGTCCGTGAGAAGTAGGTGATTGATTACGGATAGTTTACAGTTTATAAGTAGATTGATATCATACAGATATTAGGCCATAAATCTACTTGATCACTAAATACTATTCTAAGACTTCTAAGTGAGTTGAGGTAAAATGCTCTTTCACCTTAATCGATGAATAAATCTTGATGTTTTTGTTGCAGGAGAGCATGTGATGCCGGCCTTTGACGCCCGGCGCCATGCCCACGCCGCTGCAGCCCGGCGGCCCCGCTAGCGGCCCGCCCCCGGAGCGCAAGCGGCGCCGCAAGCGCGACGATCCGCAGAGTTCAGCTGCGCTCGAGCCTGACGACGACGACGGCGACATGAGCCCAGAGGAAGAACCACGCAACGCGCCCGCGGCTCCCGCGGCGCCAACCCCAGCGCCCTCTTCCGCACCCGCGCCGACCTCACCTCCCGCCGCGCCAGATGCCGTCGACCTTACCTCGCACAGAGACTCTCCGCCGCTCTCCTCCGACGTCGAAAGATTTGACGGCAAAATCGTCTACAACCCTGATGGATCTGCCTATATCATCGAGGACCCTGAATTATCAGAAGGAGAAACGAGCATACCCGATCTACCAAAAATAGAACCTGGGTGTATCGTAGATAGTCGCGACAACAACGTAGTGGAAAGACAGCTCGATTTCCCACAGATAGCGAGCGCGTTCTACGTGTCAAGAAACCCTTCGTTGTATGGCGCGTTGTATGGAAGACTGGCAGCAGAACGAGCGCGAGCGAGACCCGACGCGCCTGTTATGCACAGTTACCGAGTATTTAGTTTTCGCGGAGGAAAGGACGCTCCTAGACCGCCATCTCCTCCAACTGAGTGTCCTGTTAGCGTACCAGTCAAACCTATCCTAATGTGTTTTATTTGTAAATTGAGTTTTGGCTATGCAAAATCATTTGTAGCGCATGCACAAGCGGACCACAGTTTATCGTTACTGGACTCTGAAAGAGACGCCTTATCGAGAGAGAATGCTTCTGCTATTATACAATGCGTGGGCAAAGATAAAGAGCCACTAGTCTCATTTTTAGAACCTGTTGGTGCTGCCGCGCCACCTCGGTTATCATCTTCGGGAAGCCCTAATATGACAGAATTACCAAGCCCATCATTAGACAAGCGACAAGATTTAATGACGAGCGACAGAGATACCGAGTCAATGCTATTAAACGGAACGTGTGATGAGAGGAAACCAAGCCCAACAGCGGCATGGAGGCCGCCACGGTCGATAGCCGAATCTTTAATGCCACAACATTCCTTGATCTCCGTGGCACATCCACATACGATTAATGCTTCAGTGCAACCACGGGCCAGTCCTAACTCATCCCCACCATTTCAAGCTACACCGCCTGCCTTCCTTTCTGGAACGACGATAGGTGTTTGCCCAGATCACTTAGGAGGAAGGCCGTCTGGTGCAGATTGTCCAAAATGTGAATTAATTCTGAACTCAGGTAGATTAGGTGGCCCACTAGCTGGTATGCACAGTCGGAATTCCTGCAAAACCTTAAAATGTCCCAAATGTAATTGGCATTATAAATACCAAGAGACATTAGAAATACATATGAAAGAGAAACATCCTGAAGCTGAGACGAGTTGCATATATTGCATAGCTGGACAACCACATCCTCGGCTGGCCCGTGGAGAAACATACACATGTGGCTACAAACCATACCGTTGTGAAGTATGTAACTACTCGACTACTACTAAGGGTAATCTAAGTATACACATGCAATCTGATAAACATCTAAATAATATGCAAGAGCTTCAAAATGGTGGCAACCCTGGCGAAGGAACTTTACCTCCTGCCCCTCAACATACTCCGCCAGGCCCACACAAACCACCACTACCGCATCATTCACCCTTAGGTCAAAAACCAAAGCCAACCTTCCGCTGCGATGTTTGTAACTATGAAACAAACGTTGCACGTAATCTGAGGATACACATGACTTCTGAAAAGCATACCCACAACATGCTTGTTTTGCAGCAAAACGTTAAACATATGCAGACGTTATCAGCTCTTCACCACAGGCAACAAAGTCAACAACAACTTGAAAGTTTATTGCATTTCCATGGTGGCGATGCTCCACCTCCTAACCCTGAAGCTGCTCTTGCTGATATGGCTTACAATCAGGCCTTGATGATTCAACTAATGACTGGAGGCCCAGGTCCTTCACCTCCTGAATTAGGAGCTCATCTTGATGTTGGTTTAAATCCAGAAGCAATGGAACCTCCACCAGAGCCTGCTGACCCAGAGCCAGAGAGAACATACCATTGTTGCATTTGCAACTGTTTCTCAACCGACTCCTTAGAAGCACTTGGCCATCACTTGGCCCAGGACCGCACGAAAATCAGAGAACAGGAGATTTTGGCTTTAGTAGCTGGTCACTATGTGTGCAAATTATGCACATACAAAACAAACTTAAAAGCTAATTTCCAGCTACATTGCAAAACTGACAAGCACTTACAGAGGCTTCAGCATGTAAACCATGTCAAAGAGGGTGGACCAAGGAATGAATGGAAACTGAAGTTCTGTGGTGGTGTTGGAACAGGTGGTGCAAGCGTCGGTGGTGTACAGGTTCGATGCTGTGCGTGTGATTACTATACTAATTCTGCGCACAAACTGCAGCTTCATGCAGCAGGTGCGAGACATGAAGCTGCTGCCTTACTATTGAGACATCTTCGCGAGTGCGCGACACGTATTCCTCGAGAACGTCCCCGAGTATACCGATGTGCTCTCTGTGGCTTCGGAGCACCCCATCGACTGCCACTTCTGCAACACGTTCGATCGGTAAAACATATGCAGATGGAACAAATTCACCAGCTCCAACGTCGCTCTGAGGGCAAAGACCCAACCCCTGATGTAGCTGAACTGTTCCAAGTCATCCCTCAGCCATCTGAGTTACCGAGCCCGTACGATCAGCAAGATAATGGTGAGTACTGATTAATGCAATAAATGTGTGTCAAACATTTTACGAACCTCCTGCAGTTAATATAAAATGGCTATGTAGACAGTACAATTTATATAAGTATGTAGACAATTATGAGTACCGACGTGGGTAGATACTTAATCTAATTTAATTGTTGGTTTTTTCACATTTAGTCCTTGTTTGTCTTTTCATGTTCACTAGAGTGGTAATAAGGAAATTGCTTATTTGTCAGCTAATAATTTTCCAACCGTGACTGGTCTATTGTTATTGCACATTAACTTCCTCTAGGCGTTGTCTCCGTAAGTTGCAGCTTAATGATAATAATTAGTCAGTTATATAACGAATGTACCCACTAACAATGTAAGAGTATTCTATCTAGAGGTAGCGTTTGTTACTATCTACACAATGGTAACTAAAAAACCATTCACGATCGAAAACCGATTAGATGCGCGTGCGCATTCTGCTCAGTTTTTATACTTTGCGCTAGATGTCGCTCGTGACAACTTTTGTTCAATCAATAAACGAACACGACACAACGAAATATATTATTATTTATTACTTCTGTGCTAAACACATTTCGAAACATTTTTATTCTATAAAGCGTAAAAATCCCATTAAAATTAATTCAACCAAAACCATTACCGGCGTTCGTATCGATAAAGTAATACTGAGTCGACTTATGAATGTGATTTCGAAACGTCACTATCGGTTTCCAATTTAAACCGATTCGTTCCTTAATCAATTTTGTTCTGCGTTTTTTCAAAGTGAACTTCTTTCTGTGGATCGTGTCAACAAACACAACGATTTGTTTGATGTTAATTTGTGAGTATTGTATGTATGATACGAAGCCACATCGTGCGCTCCGTTTTCGTCAACGAAGGCTTCATTATCGTTTATCGCGTGACCGTCACTCCGTGTTCAATCTGAGAGGCAATCTCCATTTTAAGCGATGAGCATTTAGCGAAGAATTCGTAATCACAATAATGAGATAATTACACACGAACAAAATTTAATTTAAAGCGCGCAACATTAGAACAGGTTTCTTTAATAACGTACGCCTTACACGGTGTCGCCACAGTCGGATGCCGTCATTGGTCGGAGGCGGCTCCGCCCCGCGCGCGAGGGAGACGGAGAGAAGATTTGAATTGAGAACGCGAATTTTCCATAAGTACCGCACACGGGACAATGACTCGCATTACGTATGTGGCGGTCGCGCATTAAGGATGATTGCCCCCTTGTGATGAGGCTGCTACATCATCGCACAATGTCGCCGGCCGCATCGCCCCGCGCATGTTTATGGCCACGGTGAAATACGATAAACTCCGAGAGAAATGTGGAGGCGAAAGAAATCCGCCTTACACCATTGTGTGCCTCATGTTTATGCTTATTACTTATTTTCACCTTATTGAGAGAGCCATTTTAAACGATCGATTTTGATATAAATTTTAGGTTTTCGAATTGCTCACGGAACGGTTCATTGTAAAACACAACGATGAACTAAATTGCATTGTGAGGGAAAATTTAATTCGTTTAAATTCACACGATCTTGAAGTAGGTAAGCACATACTCGAATGACACAAAAAATGTCATTCTTCAGTTTTGCGACATCATTTATATATGCTTCCTTTGAATCTGTCACTGTTTTACCCCTCGGCTACTGATTCATTAGTTACTGTCCCTATCATCAATGTGATTAAACCAGAATAAGAACCGGTTTATAATTTTATACGTTATTCAAGACCAGCACCCTGTTCCAAAAGATTTTTTGCTTTGCTGTACTATAAGATCAATAAAGACGTCTGAGTCGATTATTCACTAAAAGATTCAAGATGATAATAAATATGGCAAGATTTTCGTTAAAAAAAGCATATAAATATCTATAGGTCACTGTGCAAAATAATGATCAAGGTGTGCGAACACAATTAAGACCCTAATGATCAGTAGGACTCATTTTTGAGTATACGCAAAAGTGGAACGGGTTAAATAAATTTTGAAAATTGAACCCGCAACACCGGTACGCAATGACAGTAAAACGTTCAGTTCCCATTGTGTCCCTGACGCCATGTTGTAAAAATTGTGACCCAAATCTCGCAAAACAAAACTCACACTGCACAATACTTACTTTACGACGCTATAACGATGTGGTGTTTCCTTAGAAAAGACCCTTTGTCCATTGACAAAAAGCGTCAGAGATCGCGTTTATGCAGAGAAGGTCCTTTTACCTGGCCATTGTTCTATGCTCCTACCAGACTGTGGGACGGCGGCTTTACATCATAAATAATTACATTCAATGGTCACTCTGGAATTAGGGTCAGTTGCGCTATCATTATTATTACGTACTCAGATTTATCCCTCTCCCCTTCATTAGATGTAACGGTTTTAACTGCTTAAAACTATAGAACGGGTTCCTGAACAGGGGGCCGATTGGTTTCAGCTTCGTTCGACTGTGAGATAATTTCCAGTTCTAATTAAGTAAAAATGAATGCAGTGCTTTATGAACTTTTATTGTTTGCACTATTATGAAAAAATATAAAATAAATAAGAAAAGTAGTGTTTATATTAAAATCTTGTAAGAATAATATTGGGTTCTCTGTAACTTTTTTGCATTTTATAATAAGAATACAATAGATGGTCCCTCTATTGCTCATCTAATAAACTATAATTGTAACGTTACATTAACGAATCAGTTCTCCCTCGGCCGTTTCTTTCACCTTCCTTATTTGAGCGTAAACAATGCGGCCGACCGTCTTTCACACGCTGCCGCGGACTTATCCTTGGTCAAAATAATAATTGCACGCTCACATACGGTCGTCTCGCTCACACCTATAGTCACATACGTCAACTATCCCGATGCATTTGATCCGATGCGAAACGAAATATTCGAAACCTTTTGTAATAATGAACAATGATTGTTTGCTCGTCCTGTATCTTCTTTGTGTGCAAAATTACAATATACTTGTTACGTTAACATTAATACTTTTGTGAATGTGTGCGTACGGGATGGATAGAGCGATACCTTTGTCTTGCCGGGACGTCGCAAACAAAACGAGTCCTACTAATAATATAAAAGAGAAGAATTTTATTTTTAACTTCAATTCAGAAAAGTAACAAACGCTTATACCGAACAATAGCCAGCTTCATTTATAGAAATAATCTTTTTTGCAGATAAATCTCACGTAGATGTAGGTAGACATTGTGGATTTACGTTGTACAGATTTGTATCCATTCGGCCTGCAGATTCCGTAGCGGGAGGTTCGTTGTGAACAATTTGTGTTTAAATCAATTTTTGTTTGTAAACAAATATTTTTATTTGTTTGTCAACAGACACTAAGGAGCCGATCGACCAGAAACCAGAGTTAACTCAAGAACAAAAGATGATGAGATTTTTGGAACAACATCAGCAACAACAACAACAACAGCAGCAGTCGCAACAACAACAACAACATGTATCACAACAAATTCAGCAAAGTTCCAGTGAGAGGGAGGAAGAACGAGAGACTCCCGGACCACACGCGTGTCCTTATTGTAATTTTAGTTGTTCGAACGAGTCTCGCCTACACGCACATGTCACCTCCGTACATGGCGACCCGTCTCGACATTTCATTTGCCCTCTTTGCCAAGATGGCTTCAAGGAACGACCAGCCCTCGAACGACACGTCATGCAAATCCATTCCGTTAACTCGGAAGGGCTACAGAGACTGCTATTACTTGTTGACCAAAGCCATTGGTTGAATGGTGGAGCCCAATCCCAAAGAGACGAATCTCGACAAGGTGACGATGAGCGAGAAATTTCCTCACCACGATCGGAGGGAAGTGCTGATGGTGAAACTGAGAGGTGTTCGACGTGCAACCGCACCTTTAGAAACGTTGATGAATTATGTCACCATCAGAATGAATCCGGCCACCTCGAACTAAAACAAACACCGCAAGGGCCGGGTTACGTGTGTTGGAAGAAAGGATGCAATCGATACTTTGACGCGGCTCATGCTCTACAAAATCACTTCAGAGAAGCACATGCGCGTAACTCTATTGCCAACATGTCAGTGTCTGAAAAACATGTGTATAAGTACCGTTGCAATCAGTGCAGTCTGGCGTTTAAGACAATTGAAAAACTACAGCTACATTCACAATATCATGTTATAAGAGATGCAACCAAGTGTGTGCTGTGCGGTAGAAGTTTTAGATCTGTGTTAGCACTACAGAAGCACGTTGAAACTTCCCATCCTGAATTATCTGAAGAAGAACTGAGTGCCTTCAAACGCAGTTTAGCATCGAATCCTTTATTACAAGCTGCACAAGGCACGGCTCTAGATTCAGCTACTGCTGAGCTTTTACGTAAAGAAGCGTTAAGAACTCCAGATGATGACCTCGCCGATGTCGAAGATAGAGACTCTAGTGCAACAGTCGCTGATGAGTCCGGACATAATGATGCTGAAAACTCGGATGACTCAATAATTTACAAAGATCAACAATTCTTGGAAGATTATTTAAATTCTCAAGCAATGGCTGAAGACTCATACAATGACCCAAATAGAAAATATAAGTGTCACCGGTGCAAGGTTGCGTTTACACGACAATCTTATTTGACTGCACATAATAAGACACTCCTGCATAGAAAAGGTGAAAAGTTAACCTACCCCATGGAAAAATATCTAGATCCAAACAGACCATTCAAATGTGACGTATGCAAGGAATCTTTCACGCAAAAGAATATTTTACTTGTTCACTACAATAGTGTGAGCCATTTACATAAATTGAAGCGAGCTATGCAAGAACAACAGAATAATAATAATCCTCCCGTGTCGCCCGGGGCGGGTTCTGCGCCATCTAATTTGACACTTACGCCCAAAAGTACATCGAGCGAGGAAGATGACCGCAAACGATATAAATGTAACATTTGTAAAGTTGCATACACACAGGGTAGTACGCTCGACATACACATGAGATCGGTGCTTCACCAAACACGTGCTGGCAAATTACAAGAACTAGCCGCAGCTGGACACGTGGACTTGTCACGACCCCTAGTGGAGCAGCCTGACCGGACCGACCCCGCCAAAATATTACAAGACGTTTTGTCGCCGAAAAATACATCCCCTTCGTCTACAAGCAGCGGGGGCCCGCGTTCCTCACCCCCTGCGCGCCCAGGTAGCCCGCGTTCGCCCCGCGCAGGTAACATTACGTGCGAACGCTGTCAGACGTCATTCCCTAACGGGGAGTTACTCGAGGCACATCGAGCGACGTCATGTCCGTACGGCGATGCGCGGGCGCATTCGCCGCTTGGCGAAGCTGAAACAGCTGCACTTGACGAGATGGTGGCCAAGGGTAACCCGCCCAAACGGAATTCACAAATGTATAAGCAACTATTAGAAACCTTTGGATTCGATCTCGTTATGCAATACAATGAAAATCAGCGGAGAAAAATGCAGGAAGAACGAGAGATGGTGCGTGTACCAAGTCCACCGCCGCCGCCACCTGAGGAAAAACCTCCGGACGGTGAATCCAAGTCTACTTGTCAACATTGCAATAAAGAATTTTCAAGTGTGTTCGTTCTTAAAACCCATTGTGAGGAAGTGCACAAGGATAAAGTACCTCTAGAATTTCTAGAGCAGTTTGCGGAACAGTTTAAATCGGAATATGAAAGGAAGTCTGGTGCACCTAACTCACCTCGTGCTGCCTCTCCCGCGCCGCAAGGTGACAGGTCACCGTCTCCACGTGGTGACAATAGTGGAAACTTTAATGAAAATGGAAGTGCACAAGGTGATGCGCAAGCTGGAGCGCTACTGGCTGCGCAAGTGCAAGAGATGCAAGCAGCATTAAATATGATTCAGCTACAACAACAACTAGGACAACTGCATCCGATGGTAGCTCAGATGTTATCGTTGGGGCTGCCTCTAGGATTGAACGTCGGAGCACTGGCAGCCATGAACCTTCAACCACCATTGGTGCCGTTAATGCTACCACCTCCTCCATTCGATGCCATGCCCTTCGCCCACGACGCCCAGATGAAACAACAACAATTATTACAGCAGCAGCAACAGGTTAGTTGCAATTTTTTAATATTCTTAATGTCTCATCGTTAACTACACCTACATTTCTTTACTTATACCAGCAGATATTCAGATAGTGACTATTTGTGTATACACTACTTATATAACTTAACATAAATTTGTAGATATTACACAAATTACTATGAAATAAATAGTGATGTCATGTTAACGCTTGTTTAAAGTAATATGTTATGTACTATAGAATCTATAAATATAATAATCTCGTAGGAAAATCAAAACTGTGTGTTTAATATATTTTTAAACAATACTTGAGGTGTGATCTACTATCGATATCGCAGCCGAAAAAATATTTATAGAATAATCTATAACTTTCGATCGTATTCTAATTGGAATTAATTATATAGTTACTGTACATAGATTCAATATGTGTCATATGTAATTCTACTAGCTTCTGCCCGCGACTTCGTACACGCAATCCCGTTTTTTCCCGCTCCTGTAGGATTTTCAAGTTTTTTCGGTCTTAAGAACCTTCTCCTAATAATAACAAATACAACAACAAAAGAATTAGTGAAATCGGTCCAACCTTTCAAGCGTGATGCCGTGACCAAGGGAAAAAGGGATTAATTTATATATATAAAGAATTAATTAAAGGCTATTGCATACTTTTAGTTACAATAATATATTACTCTTAAACTGATGGAAGTATCTGCTACTAATAATATAATAAGTCGCCAATAAAAAATACATACTATTATTATACCAGAAACGTTTTCATGCATAATTCTTACTAAACTGGGCTTCTTTTCCTTTTTTGCTCCAATTCTTTGTTTTGTGCATCTCTCATCCATCTGTTTCCATCATTATAAACAGAATTAAAGACGAATTTTAATTTATATTACTACACAATTATTTAACAAACCTCCATTACCTCAACTGTTTAATTCAGTCGAGACGTACAAATACATATTTACTTATACAAACACAAGGCTTGGCATTGATTATTTTCGTCAGTTACTGTGTAAATTCGATCGTGGGCAATAAGGATATCTACGACGGCGTCGTATTGTGAGATAAGCTCAACGATTTACGTTAGCTATCTGTTTGCACAAGGCGACAGGGAATCTATTGTTGTATGAAGGGTCCGACCATTATTATTAGTAACGACTTCCCTTAGCATTCGGACTTACCTGCTTCAAATCGTCGTTGATAAATGAACCCTTTAACAACTGAAAACTCGTTTCGTCTCTACGGATTCAATGCTCGTCTTTAATATAGATTTCTTTTGTTTGCAGGCTAATGCTGCAGCTGGTCAAAAGAGAGCGCGTACACGCATCACTGATGAACAACTGAAAATTTTGAGAGCACATTTTGACATTAACAATTCGCCCAGTGACGAGGCTATCGCGAAAATGGCCCAACAGTCTGGACTCGCTACAAAGGTAATCAAACATTGGTTCAGAAATACTCTTTTCAAGGAGCGACAGCGAAACAAAGATTCACCTTATAATTTCAACAATCCTCCTTCTACGACCCTCAACTTAGAAGAGTATGAAAAAACCGGTGAGGCCAAAGTAACAACTTTGGATTCATCAGCAAGCTCTGATGAAGGAAAGCCACCACCTGAAAAAAAGGCTAAAATTGAAGACACTAGTATGCTAATGCATCAAGAAGTTAAGTCGGAACCTAACGATGAGCCAACGATGGAGGAAAAATACAATTCATATGACGATCGACACCAAGAAGACAAAAGCTTTATCTTTCCTCAAGCACCATCGCAGAGCCCTGCACCAATGATTCAAAACAATGATCACCATCATCAAAACAAATCGCGACCTCAAACACCAACGCACATTTCATTAAACTCGTTAATTCAATCTCAATTAGATTCGATTCCGGCAACTAGTATACCACAGCCGCCTCATCCATCGATGTTACCACCAAAATTGAATCCTAATTTCACGTCCCCAAACTCCGCGCCCCCGAACGTCCTACCTTTGACCCCGAATCGCAGCCTCAGCCCTGGCAGAGGGCCGGCCGATTTCGGACTTTCCGGGGGCAATTCGAACGGATCCAACAGCTCAACGGGGTCTTCTGGCAAACGCGCCAACAGAACTAGATTTACAGACTATCAAATCAAAGTATTACAAGAGTTTTTTGAAAATAATGCATATCCCAAAGATGATGATCTCGAATATTTGTCAAAGTTATTGGGGTTAAGCCCTAGAGTGATTGTAGTCTGGTTTCAAAACGCACGCCAAAAAGCCAGAAAAGTCTATGAAAACCAACCAGCCGCAGATCCGCCTGCGAGTGCCACGGATGATGCCAATCGATTTCAACGGACTCCAGGTCTTAACTATCAATGTAAAAAGTGCCAATTAGTATTTCAAAGGTACTATGAACTTATAAGACATCAAAAGACGCATTGTTTCAAAGAAGAAGATGCAAAAAGATCAGCACAAGCGCAGGCCGCAGCGGCTCAAGTGGCAGCTACATTAAGCAGTGAGGATTCCAATTCGAGCAATGTAGAACATCACCCTCCCCACGTGCCAGTCTCACCTGCGCCGCCTCGTACGCCAACTCCCGCGGCACCTAACTACCCTGTGTCGCCAGCACCGCCTGCGCCGTTAACACCTGTTACCCCACTGTCGCACACACCTCGTGAAGAAAAAGATGGAAATTTTCAGTGTGATAAATGTAACCTAGTCTTCCCTCGTTTTGACTTATGGCGAGAACACCAACTAGTTCACATAATGAACCCAAACTTATTTCCCACATATCCACCCGATTCCCCTTTTGGAATTTTGCAACAACATGCACAACTACAACAACTAAACGCAAGCCTTGGCAGTGATGAAGCTCGCCATCCTTTAGTAGCGGCTCTCAACCAACAAGTCGCTAAGAGGAAATTTGATGAGTATGAAGAAGTTGAAACAGGTGAACAGCCAAAAGACAAACGCTTAAGAACTACAATTCTACCGGAACAACTGGATTACCTCTACCAAAAATACCAAATCGAATCTAATCCATCTCGTAAAATGCTTGAAAACATAGCACGCGAAGTTGGACTAAAAAAAAGAGTGGTACAAGTTTGGTTTCAAAATACTAGAGCACGTGAGAGGAAAGGACAATTCCGAGCACATGCACAAGTCATAAATAAAAGATGTCCATTTTGTCCAGCGTTATTTAAAGTAAAAAGTGCCCTAGAAAGTCATTTGAGTACCAAACACGCAGATCAGTGTGCGAGAGGTGAGATCAATGTAGACGCATTACCCGATGAAGAATTGAGTACAGAATCAACCCCGAGTTTCGGGTCTCAACAAAGTGATCGGCAGCAAAATTTTTCCCAAGCGGGGGCTCCCATGTTGCCCCCTATTTTTCCACCTTTTCACTCAGACATGGAGAAATTTATCAAGCAGTACAGTGAAGAATCAATGAAACGCTATGTAAGTGAATTACAAGCGCATGCGGCCGCTCAACAGAATGGCGGCGGAAATGAACCAACTGAACGACGGCCCGAACATGGAAAATCAGAGATACCTTTAGATCTCAGTAAACCAGTTGATCTGTCACGACCTGGATCTGACGCCGACGAGCGCTCCGACACGGCTTCTGAAACTATGGAATTCTATGAAGAAGACGAGCCGACCTCGCCTCTCCCCGGCCAGCAACAAACGACTCGGCCGCCGGGAAAACGTTATCGTACGCAAATGTCATCCTTGCAAGTAAAGATTATGAAATCCTTATTCGGGGACTACAAAACTCCGACTATGGCGGAATGCGAGGCGCTCGGTCGAGAAATTGGACTACCCAAACGTGTAGTGCAAGTTTGGTTCCAAAATGCACGTGCCAAAGAGAAGAAGGCGCGCCTGGCTGCCGGACTCATGGAGGTGTCCGATGCGCCGCCGCCGGAAGAGTGTCGAGTATGTGACTTCAAATACAGTCATAAATACTCGGTGCAGGACCATGTGTTCACACGTGGTCATATCGCGGCTGTACGCGCGCGGCTCGAAAGTGGTGCAGGCGGCGGCGATGACAGCACGCTCGCGCTCATGCAGATGGCAGCGCGTCTTGAGAGCGGCATGGGCGGCGACTTGCACAACGCGTTCCTGCGGCCGCAGCTCGCCGGCAATGGTGAGTGTACTACTTGACCTCGGAGTGAGTCGCCTAGCGCTTCCCAGCTCTACGCGATCCCGCATTCTCTTACGTAGAACCTCGCAGCGGCGAGCTCCGCTCGATCGCATCATTTTAATTGTGTTCACAAATAATCACAATGTTCAAATACATAATAGCGTTTCGAGCGAAGCTCCTTTCGTGCCGTGACGGTCGTTGCTATTTTCCTATTAGTGAGTCCTTTTGTAAATAAAATTTAGGTTTAAATTAAATAGCTTAAGATTAAAATCTCTCTGTAGTGTTTATATTTCAATATATTTGAGATATTGAATTGATGTCATTAGCATCAGATCGTTTCCATCCACGACTGGAAATCAGTATCACTGTATGTATGTATTGTGAACCTGATTGAAAAATATGGAGTTTCTTGCTCGTTCTTCTACGGTACTCTATACTTTGGATTGGAATGAGCGAATAGCTTCCCTAGAAAACTGACCGACATTTTAAATATCTTCTTTGACATTCAGTAATGCTTTCCTGGTCTAGTTTGAAATAAATTACTTTAACTTTGAAGTTTAGATCTACAGCTAATTGATAAAGTGTTCAAAACACTAAATATGCGTCGAGTCGGTTGATCGATGCGAAAGGTAATAGCGGCACGTACGCAGTCGATTCAATCTCAGAAATTATTTCGTAATTCAAATAATTACGGAACGTGGCAACAGTAAAAAACACTACACAATCTTTCAAATTATAATACAAATTTGAAACCAATAGATATTTTTGTGTCGGTATAAGAGCATTATTTATTGTGGTACGTTTTGTTGCACATCGGCACGTGTTGCTTGGCGCGCCGCGCGTTGTCGTCGTAGAGAGGCGGGCCGCGAGCCCGACCTGGCTGGCGCGGTGCAGTAATGGGCGGCTGCTCTAAGGCACTATACACATGCAAACGATGCACAACAATGGTAGGAGTTAGGACGCGTGAAGGACGTCGATATCTAATGGAACCGATCTGGCGCACATGCATTTCGCTCCACATGAATAATCAATTATTTAAATGACGCCAATCAAGACTTTCTCAGAAAGAACTCATCAGTGACCATTGTTTCCTTGAGTTTGCTCTACAAAATATTGAAAGCCAACACTACAGAGAGACATAGACTAGTAATCTGTTGCATAATATTATTCTTCCTAGTTGTTCGTATTTAAAACTCCTATTAGGTTATTAGCGACATGTCTATTGCTGTAGGATTGTAATGAAAACCAAATTATATATTTTAGAGAATTTAAATGTTTTAGTTATTATTGTGTAAAGTCATAGCGAAGCCTGAAGTCTATATAATTATTTAAAATAAGGTGCCTTGTAGGATCCAAGTGTTTTGTAAATTATTTTTTCTAGAGCTCCACTGTAAATAGTTAAAGTATACTACTAGTTATAACGATGTGCACTGTAAAATTGTTGTCGCCGATAGCTGTTCGTATTTGTATTTCGATAGTTCTTATCTATAGGTAGATATAAATATATTATTTGTTTCGTAGAGGCATCTTAAGAACTTGTGATATAAATGTATCTAATTAGTTTACTTCGCATATCTTTCGAAAAGGTCTCGGTTAAGGGCACGAGCCTAATCGATCAAAAATACATACAGACATAACATTACAAGTTTGTCGGTTTTTACATAATAATGGATGCTTAGCTGTCGTGTGGGGTCCCGGTTGCAGTTTGTGCTATTCTTTCGTGGCATTTACATATTTGGGTTTCGATTGGGGCGTTAGGCGATATGCAAATATTTTCTTCAAATTTGACTGTTGCGTAAGTCGTGGGGCGCACGAGCTGTGAGCTAATGCGCCTGCGCCCCTGCGCACGCGCCGCGGGAGCTATGCTATGCCCTTATTTATTATGTAGAAATTGTCGCTAGCGACTCGTAAACACCTTGATACGTCTCTATTGATCTTTCAAATGCAAATGTCCCAGTCTGTCGGTAAAGAAAATAATAAGCGTTGTTTACTATTTCTTGAATACATATACCACAGCATTCTGGTATTATTGAGCATGTTTTTATTTGCATATCGCTTTTTGTTGATTTTATTTATTGTTGTTATGTTTGTATTTATTTTTGTTCCATAGTTTTACTATAATCTTGTTTGACATGTAGATAACTACAGAATCGTATTGACGTCAAGGCGACTGTCATCCCCTTGATATTGAGTTTGCCTCTCCAACCCGACTTCCATTACTTTAATTTTTGAATTTGTATAATTTAATTTTTAACCTAATTTTATGCGATCTGCATTTACTGTTATTCAGATGACGTTATTCTAAATAGTAATTTTAAACAAAGTCCTGTGCCAGCCAGTGAAAGAATTCTTTGGTATTTGCGGCGTTGATTCGACCGCCTAAGAAAAGATTGAAAGTCTTGTAAACTGATAGTATTATTATAATTATTATCTACAGTTATTATATTTGCAGAATTCGTTGAAATAAATGCAATATTTATATTATTGAATTATGTTTTTTTTTTTGTTTTTTTGTTTCCTTGGTTCCTTTATCCTGAGTTTGTTTTTTGTTTGCTTTTGTTGGAGAACATTTATGCGGAATGCAATGTGAGGTAACAAAGACTGTTTAAACAAAGCTGATATTTTTTGGTAGAAAGTCTCGACTCTCGGGGAGTTAACGAATTATTTAAGGACAGGTGAACATTGGAGATAATTTGAAATGTAAAGTAACTCACGCAGATAGTTACAATGACGCTGTAAAAGGTATACCTGGGAGTTAAAACAAAGTACGCTTTATTTTAGAAAAGAGGTTGTTACAAAAGATTTGAAGTTTTTAGATGGTACGTATTTCGTCGCTCTACGGGGGATAGTTTTAAAATGATTCATAGGGGTTTGTTTTGAAATTCATACACTCTTTGTACTTAACAAGGACAAACAGATTGCTAGTTTATGTAGTTAAGAAGTGATATATGAGTACATTAGTGTTAAGAAAACGATCGTGACGGCACGTCGCACCAGTCCTTACATTTCTATTTTTGTGTCACTTATAATATTCACATAATTCTTAGCACTTTTCTTAAGAAACAGAGCCTATATCCAATTATTTGGCATTATACGTAATAGTCAAATTGATGAGTAATTATACTAGATAGTGATATAACCAATCTCCAATGTTCCGTGGTTACATCTGATTAGACGCCTTAAGAACACGTGGGCCTCCATAAAAGTAGAAATAAAAATGAAAATAGATTCCGAAATGTGATGTAGAAAGCAATTTTCTTACTATTTTCCACAATACTTCGATAGACACAGCTGTTTACTGCTTTGGTACATAAGAGCTAAATTCCCTTGCTTCCACGTGGTTACTAGTTGTGTCCCTATTGGCTGCAATACTCCGTACCATAACAAAAGACCAATGAAAGAAAAAAAGTCTAGAAAAAGTCCGTACTCACCAAAAACGCATTGCTCGTATAAATGTTCATTTTTATTATATAATTATTTTCAGTTTTATTTTTTTTATATATAACTTTATTTAGGAATATTGGTGTCATCGTTTCGTATAGGTCATGAATGCTGTTTGAGGACCAGACTAAAAACTGAAGGTAATAAATATAAGTAGCTGTCGAGGTGCTTTGAAAAACGAAATACACCCATAATTCTTGAAATAGATATGTTGAATTTACTAAAAATAAGGGTTTACTCACGTAAATATATTGAGAAAAGCCCTACTGGGTTCGGTTCACTGAGGGAATCTTCCTCATGAGCAGCATGCGGCTGTAGGCTGCACAAAGTCGCGTCCTCGCGTCCGCGCACGCTGCTCATGAGAAGGAATCCTACTCTGACTCGAAATTAGTACAGATTTTCTCATTTTATTTACGTATGTCTTACGATTATTCATTTTGTATGTCTCAAGATACTTATTATCATTATAAAAAGATATATTGAAAATCTGAAATCCCAAAATTCAATAAAGGTACTTAGGAACACACTTAAATCACCACCCACTTACACTCGTGAAAACAATATCACCAAAACCTTGATATAAGTATTTACAATACGATTTTTTACCCACCCACTCACTGGGTTAAGTTACTTTGAAAAAAATATTAAATTACAAATGTACAAAAGAAAAATTGAACTGGAATAAAAAAGGTTCCGTTAGCGACCTGGCTAATTATTTCATTGTAAATCACAATAATATAGGACGTGCTTACCATAAAAATAAGGCTTTTTGTTAAAATACAATAGATTTTTTATGAAATCGATATCATGTCGGTAAGTAGGCAGATCATTGGAGCGATGTTATAGATTGTTAGTGATCATCGAAAAAAATTGGTCCGTTAGTAGATCGTTTGAATCAAGGAAAAGGTGGCAGATGTCTGTCACTATAACATGATATGAGAAAGTGATATACCTGCTACTAAATTTCAATTGTAGGTTGCCTTTTGGTAACCTACAATCGACAATTCGGTACAATTTCCGTAGACAAATTTAGAGGTAGCATTTATATCGAAAACGTGAAATTTTTAGGTAGTCTTTATTATTAACAAAAACATAATTTCATTGAAATAAAGTTTTATAATAAGTAAAACTTTCTGTCTAAATAAAGAAACAATATTTAAATAATACATCCCCAAAATAATAATTATGTTGAATCACTAATATAAACAACACGCTACCGTTGCTACGACTGCGTAGTACGAACGTAGCAGTGCTACGCCAGTCTACTGCGCGCTACGTAATCTACGCACTTACCACGAAAACTTCAACTCCAAAACTAATCTATCGCGTAGACTCCGAACTAATCAACGTAGTCCTGTCTGATCAAAATTTCGATTTATCGTTAAGTAATAAGGTCGAAAATTTAACGTGACAGAAGAGGGTAACTTGATGTGCGGTAGTATGTGTTAACTAAATTACTTAAAAAATGGACCATCTAGAATTAGTCGTTATTCAATTCATGTCAGTGATTCCTATTAACTGACAAAAAAGGCAAAGGTCATCCACTGTCAAAATAAAGGCTC